TGTCATTGGGAACATACCACTATTTTCCAAGGGCTTCTCTCCTTATTTTCATCCCTTAGGTATTATTTTAAAAAGAAATTGATATGTAATAGTGCATAGAGGGATATCATTGCTGATGTCCAATGGCTCCTGGCTGAAAGCAGAGAATATCAGAAAGATGTTTACCTATGCTTTATTGATACGCAAGGGCTTTTGATTGTGTGAATCATGACAAGCTATGGACAACATTGCGAAGTATGAGTATTCCGGAACACTTAATTCTGCTCATGAGGAATCTGTACATGGACCAAGAGGCAGCTGTTCGAACAGAACATGGGAACACTGAATGGTTTAAAATGAAGAAAGGTGATTTTTATTCTTTCACCATACTTATTCATGCTGAGCAAATAATCCAAGAAGCTGGGTTCTATGAAGAAAAACATGGCATCAGGATTGGAGGAAGACTCATTAACACCCTGCGATATGCAGATGATACAACCTTGCTTGCTGAAAGTGAAGAGGATTTAAAATATTTTCTGATGAAGATCAAAAACCACAGCCTTTGATATGGATTGCATCTCAATGTAAAGAAAACAAAAATCCTCACCACTGGACCAATGAACAACATTCTTATCAATGGAGAAAAAATTGAAGTTGTCAAGGACTTCATTCTCCTTAGATCAACTATCAACACTATGGAAGCAACAGTCAAGAAATCAAATGACATACTGCATTAGGCAAATCTGCTGCACAAAACCTCTTTAAAGTATTGAAAAGCAAAGATGTCAGCTTGAGGACTAAGGTGCGCCTGACCCAAGTCATGGTATTTTCAATAACCTCACATGCATGCGAAAGCTGGACAGTGAATATGGAAGACCGTAGAAGAATTGATGCATTTGAGTTACAGTGGTGGAGGAGAATATTGAAAGTGCCATGGGCTGCCAAAAGCACCAACATAGGTGTGTTGGAAGAAGTGCAGCCAGAGTGTACTTCCTTTAGAGGCCAAGATGGCCAAACTTCATCTCTCATAGTTCAGACATATTGTCAGTAGGGACCAGTCACTGGAGAAGGATGTCATGTTTAGTAAGGTGGAGGAGGGTCAGAGAAAAAGAGGAAGACCCCCGGTGAGATGGATTGGCAGAGTGGCAGCATCAGTGGGCTCAAGCATGGCAACAATTGTGAGGTTGGCTCAGCACCAGGCACTGTTTCGTTCTGTTGTGCATAGGGTCGCTGCAAGTTGGTACTGACTTGATGGCACCTAACAACAACAACAACAGTAAAGTAAGTGAGATGTCTATAACTCAGGAACCACTCTGCTCTGACCTAAAAGGCCAGCCCTCTTCTCTTTTCTTTCTATTATCATTCCCAGGCCATTGCATTCAGTCAGAGAGCTTTAAATTCCATCTGTTTCTCTGAAATTTCCTTCTCTAGCCTGGAACTCACCCCTGACCTCCCGACACTCTTACCCAACTGTCTGCCAGATACCATCTTCACACGGGCATTTCACAGGCCTCTCAATCTTAATATGTCATTACCAAACTTCTAAACTTGTCCCCGTCTTCTCCTCATGGGGCTTTCTCCACACCAGTCAATGGCAAACCATCTTTCTAATTGCTTAAATCCAAGACATTGAAGTCATCCTTTTTTCTTTTTCTTCTACTACTTCTCCTTTTTCTTTTATTCTTCTTCCTTTTCTCCTTTCATCCATCCATCCACCCATCCATCTATCCATCTACCCACCTAGCCATCCCATCCACCCACCCA